CCCAGGTCCTTCTCCGCCAGGCAGCTCTCCAGCCACTCCTCCCCGAGCCTATAGTGATGCTTGGGGTTTTTATACCCCAAGTGAAGGACTCTGCACTTGGCCTTATTAAAGCTCATGCCATTGGCCTCAGCCCAACGATCCAGTCTGTTCAAATCCCTCTGAAGGGCCTCCCTACCCTCGAGCAGATCGACACAGCCTCCCAGCTTGGTGTCGTCCGCAAATTTACTGAGGGTAATTCAATCCCCTCATCCAGGTCATTGATAAAGATGTTAAACAGAACTGGACCCAGCACTGAGCCCTGGGGAACCCCACTGGTGACCGGCCTCCAGCCGGATTTAGCCCCATTTACCACCACTCTTTGGGCCCAGCCATCCAGCCAGTTTTTAACCCAAAGGAGGGTGTGCCTATCCAGGCCAGCAGTTATCAGTTTCTCAACCAGAACACTATGAGAACACTTTTGCTTAATAGGCAATTCTAAGTTCCTACAAGTTCTTGTGGCCTTCATATTCCTAAATGCATTGCTCTTCTCAGCTTTATAAGGACCAAATAAAATGTTTAATCTTAGTGGATGATGTCATTATATGTCTTTTGACCCAGATGCATCCTATTGAGCATGTAAATTAGGAGAATACTATTTTTCATTCCTTCTGGATATCACACACAGAGATACATCACCTTATCGCATTGCATGGAATATAAAGGATTAGTTTAAACTAAGATAATTCAGTTAACTGACTGAAGCTATGCATACCTCCACATGTAACACGACTTTTCTAGCTGACCACGAATTAGTAATTTCAATTGTTGCATTTTATTTCACAGAAGATAATGACACTCTTTTTCCCTAGTGACTGAAAATACCTTTATATGAAAAATTCTATTTCAGTTTCAAAGAATGCAATATTGTCTGTACGTATTCAGAGAGGCAGACATAAGTCAGGAAGAGTAGAACGCAATTTCGTTTATTTGTTAGTAATTTAATTGATCCTTGAACGTTGTTTTTATTTCCATACCTACTGACAGGCTGTTAAGATCACAGGGAACTATGATTAAAGAGCCTTGGAGGACTGTAAACTGGAAGAATAAAAGAACTCACCCATCAGAATGAACTGATAGCAATATTTCCAGTCAACCTCCTTTTCATGCAGCCAAATTGGCTTGAGAAGCAATAAAATACCAAGCATGTCAGTGATGGGCTCTATTCTTACTCGCAATGCTTATCTCTACCACATAGAGCTTCAAACATTTTTAAAATATGAAGAAAATAAAGCAAAAATAAGCTGCATGGTAGACCCACAGACACACAATAAACTTTCCAGGAAGAAATTATGACAGTACTATATACTGGCATATGAATGACACCTTTGACTGCCGTATATCGATATATATGGCACAGTACCATAGGACAGACAATGAAAAACATGTTGCCTGACACCCTGTGCACAACATTCCCTTCCCTAGGTACAAACATAGAATGTAACATGAAACGTTTTTCAAGGGCTATGAAAGTGCTACTATCTGTTATGGTAAGCCAAGTGAAAGGTAATCTACTGGCTTCCTATTCATTCTTACGGATCAGTTATTTGGCTGAGTAAACTTCAAAGCAAGTACTCTGTAAAAGTAAAAACAAATACTTGAAAAGCCGTAATGAAGATTGAGACACAGTGTATGTTACTGAGGGAAAAGCATCCCATCGATACACATAAAGACAGGATTCTGTTGGAGAAGGCTGACCAGCCTGAGCCAGCCTCCATCGCTATTCTCACCTGCATGGCATATTTTTCAATTTCCTGTGCTCTGCTCAAATACCAATCGGTAACGAGATCTACTGAAAGGTCTGTAGTCCTGTACTTCAGTAACTCAGGTTGTGTTTCATACAGAAATTCACCTTCATCTTGTAAGGTTGGTTCAACAATCATCCTTTTGAAAGAAAAAAAAAAAAGTAAGCATATATTTAAATATACAGTTGCTTGCATTTTTTTTTTCACATCAGTCTTTTTCTTAAAACTCCTGGTTGTTCTGAAGGAAAAAAATCATATAACCAACCTAGCATTACACCAATGATTTGATGCCAATCACAGTAAGTGATAATTCTTGTCCGCAAAGTAACTAGTAAGAGATTCCAAACATGAGATAGGTCATGAAAGAATGAATCTTCTCTACTACAGAGGTATGCTCAACTTCTGCTTTCCATCTGTTCCTTACACAGCGAAAGGCACTTTTGTGATCTATTAATGCTGCTATGATAATGCTATGGTTAAGTAACAAGAGCATGCAACAGGGCATAAGGAAAAACAATGAAATAAATCAGGATTTCCAACAGTAACCTCGTCCCCGCTCAGAGGCATTTGCAAAATTTACACATCACATGATCACAATGAACATAATCCTGTAACATGAAGAAGTGTTCGCTTAGTCTCACTAAGAAAGCTGAATACACAAGCTAGTGTGCACAAAAAAATAAAAAGTGAGTCTTACTAGGTACTTCCCAGATTTTGAGAATTAGTAAGTAAATTCTTTATCCGAAATGTACATAAATATAGAAAAAAATTTTTGCTTTTTCTATATACTTACCTGCATTCTGCTTTTTCACACCAGTCTTCTTCACGATGTTTCTGTTCATTCCAAGGAAGAATTTTCAATGTCCCCTGTTTGTAACTGTTATAACAGAAAAAGGAAACTTTAGACAATTTTTTTTTTTAAATTGTGATGGCACTCCATTAGTGGAATAAAAAGCATACACAAGTTTTTCAGTGAACTCATAATAAGCCTGCAATTCAATTACAGTATTAGTTCTTTATGATTTATCACTTCTTAAATGCAGCTATACAAGTGCAATTTTGCCTCTATGATATTATCTGTACAAACACATATTGTACCTATACCATTAAAGAGCGACTAAAAAAAAAAAATAGATTTTCTTACTGACTGTACCTTAAAAAAATAATGGAAAAAAAAACACTACATGCCTTAAGAATTTTTACTGCTTCACAGTAAGTATTCTGGCTTTATATACTGTCTTAGAAGACTGAAATGCGCAAAAACCTATGATCTCCACAGCATAAAAAAAAAAATAATTCTTCAAATTTTAGCACAAATCCTTGTACCGCATCAAAACAGAACATGCCCTGCTGTACTGACCTTCTCAATTATGTTTAATGTGGTTTTCTCACTACAAACTTACACAGTGAAACATTCTCTAAATATTGAGGTTGGAGAAAAAAAATATCTGTTTAAAAGGCAGATTAAGAACACCATGGGTTATTACTAGAAGGATTAGTTATGGCTTGCTGCTGTAGGCTAGTTGTTTAAGCACCATAAAAGCAGAGAAAACCATGTCAAACTATGCAGAACATAAACTAAGAGCGAAGAGAAGAGCCATACAGGTCTTGGCATTTGTAGAAATAAGAAACAAACCATGTACAAAGTAAAGACATTAAAGTTTCAGCATACTGGAGCAATAAGCTGTTTTAAATCTCACTCATTTTCTCCTGCCCTGGTAATAAACAGGAAACAGTGGACAATCCATATCTATAAACTAACAACTGACACAATCTTCTCATCCCTTGAAGAGCAGCACTGTAACTCAGCAGCTTAGAAAGAAACATAATTCCAACAAACAAATCAATTTCACAATACAGTAAGAGTCAAAACAACAAACTAAAAATCAATAATTCCATCTCATTTAGCAACTGCCTTTAAATACATTTCACAAAGCGAGGCATGTCCATACTAACTGCCCTGCCGTGTACACACACGCATTTCTCCCAGGTCAGCCACTGTTCCTTTCCCTCCTCTATGCACTAACAATAACACCTCGTGTTTTTATCCATAGCAATTTCAACCCTCCAAATGAAACATGCAGCAGAAATCTAGAAATAAATTGGCAGAGAGAGATTTGAAGGCTATAAAATAAAAGTCAAAAGAAAGGAGGGAAGAAGATGGAAAACTGCTAATTCTTGTGTCTCAGCTAAAGCAATATCTGCATTCAATTCCAGTTCAGATGGACAAAACACTCCACAATTATCTTTATAATTAGGCACCATGTAGTAACATCTGAAAAATAATTAATAAAGAAAACTCCAAATTATTATTTACGGTATAAGCACTAGGAATAAAGTCATCTTCTGATTTTGGAAAGATTCATCATCAGCCCACGGATTCTGGGGATTGGCGGAGGGGACCCGTTTGTTTGTTTAAGTCTCAGATAACATAATTTATAAATTATTTTTAAATATTAATATTTAAAACCGAGTTCATAAACTAAATTTATAAGGTCATATTTCAAATGTCATACATTACAATGTTCTTGTATTATGTTATTATACAATGGAAGGCCCAGTTTGTAGTGAAAAGGTTCTTTATCAGTTGAAATGTTAAATAACAGAAAAGGCAAAGTGTGCTTAACATTCTCTTCCAAAATATAAAATCAAGACAGCACGAGCAGGTCTTCATGTTACAACCAATAACACTCTCCTTTTCTATGTTCTATTAAACATAAAAGGAGATTGCACAAAATTTTATTGTCCGTCATAATTTCTTTTCATAGTAAAATTTTTCCATCCACTTCTCAGTAGGCTTAAGAACACATTTCGGGGGGGGGGAGGACTGTTTGTTTAGGTTTTGTTTTGTTTGGGCGGGTGTGCCTTTTAGGTTTTTGTTTGTTTTATTTTTTAAGTGTTAACACACCTTCTTACTCGGGGAGGAGTGGGGAGAAAACAAGAGCTTTTACACAGCAAAGGACAGACAAGGGTTTCACTTTAAAAGCTGTTTCCAACCACGTCTGCAAAATTGTAGCATAACTACCACGAGAGAGTAACAGTAAGAGAAGATTTTTCAGGTAACAACTCTGATTTCACATTACAGATAGCTTTTTTCCCCCCAACAGTAGCTACACATACAAATACCTTAACTAGTGTTCTGCCTCCAAGAATTGCAATGCTAAGATCTTGTTATTTTACAGTATTAAGAAAAAAAAAATCTCATATACAGTACGGGCCCATAAGACTTGACTACATCAAACCCAATTATTTTAACATCCTTTTATTCCTAAACATCAGGGGTAAAAAGAAATTCAGTCGTTGGCAAGGACCAGTTGCCGGTGGAAGCTCTCGAAAAGGAGCCTGAGGACTTGGACCGTTTCAGAAGTTGAAGAATCACAAAGCCAAGCTGAAAGGAGCACTCACACCACATCTTGCCCTTCCCTTAGTCTCCTCCCTGTAGCTCCACTAAGCACAGCACGAACACTACCGGGTAATCTGTAAAACAAAGTCAGCCCCTCTCTGTCAGTCTCTCTCTCACCTACTCCTTATTAAGTGAGGCAGCATATTAAAGAGAACACAAACTGTGCCCGTACCCCTCTCTTCCAAAATCTGGCTTTTGCATGAGTCTCTGAAACACCTAACTGATGGAGCAGCAATGGGGGGGACACATGACAAATAAGTGTATCAAGCTCCATTAGAAAATTGCAGCAGATACCCATTTATTGTATTTCCTCTGAAAGCAAATTCCCGTTCCAAGTAGTCACTTGCAGACTGTTCACCGCTCTCTCAAGTAAGAACATCCCATCTGAGGGAGTCTTCCCATGTAATCTCAGAGCCTCAGAAGAAATTTTTCGGCAAATTGCTTTGGTTTGGCTACTCTTCCACTGATTGTTTTTGTTGTTATTGAGAGAAGAAAGAAGTAATGCAAAACAGTAAGGAAAGAGGTGCACGCATTTAATAGGTATTTAAATTTCAGAATTTCCCTTTTTTGGTTAAGAAATTACTAAAAGAGAAAATCACTAGAAATAAGCAAAGACAGCAGAAGTTTAGAACACAAATTTAAAGCCACCGATACATGAATATAGGATCTGAATAACAAGGAACCGAGATATTTCAAAATTCACATATACACTCCTAATGCTACTATCGCTTGGTATGAGACCTGAAGAAAAAAAAAGAATGAAAAATTAAAAATCTACTGATCCAAGCCTTTACTGCCAAATACTACATTGAACACATTCTTCTCAATTAAGCTGCCACAACCTGCATACTTGCCATGGACATGGCAAAGTTACATTCTGGAATTACAGCTCCAATTAAGAAATTGTTTCTTATCAGATTCAGTAGCACAAAAGGTTTACAATTAAATTTGGCAAAACTTGCAAGTATTCTTAACTGATCTGAATATCAAGATGAATTATATGTTTCTCTACCTCCAATTATTCTTAACATAGTTGAGTCACTTTCCTGACCCTGATAAACTACATTAGAAACTAAGCAGTTTAATTTTTATGCAAGCAAGACTTATCCACCCAGACTAAAATCAAAAGTTACTAGAAATCACCTCTTTTCACAGACTGATGCAATTGCCTATATAGCCCTTCTCCCCACCTGACTTCAGAAAATAATCTGTATTTCCCTCTCCCCACTTAAAAGTAGGTATTTTCTTCCCTATTCCTGTAACACAAAACATACCTGGGTTTGCCTTTAAATTCCAACTGCTTCACATATTTTTTAAAAATACTCCATTCAAAATGATCTCTCCAACACCCTACTATGTCTTATAGTTTCAACTAAAGTTGAAAGTTTATTGCTTAAAAAAATGCTTGCTGAGAAAGATCTCTCCGAATTTGAGTTTCCAGGCTTTGCTTCCCCTTTTCCCCTCACCTCCAAAATCCATCAAGCGAGGAAGCAATGTGCAGCTCTACCTCCCTCTGCCTACCTTACTCAACAGGGTATGATGGAAAAAAGTTGGAAAGTACAGAGAAGAGATACGTGAATGACTAAGGGTAAGAAATGTGTGATCATGTCTCCTCTGAAAGTCGGAGCAGACTGAAGAATCCTAGAAGAAAGAAAACAACCAATATGCTAAGACTGATATAAAGCTGTTCACTTTTTTGTCTCGCTGAGATAGGAAATAACATTTCACTCCTTTTACTTCCTTCAACACTGTAAGCACTGATGAGAACAGCAGGGCCTCATTTAAAATAAACATCAGCAGATATGTTTTACATTACAGCAGCTACTCGCTACATGACATAGAATATTTAAAAAAGGTGTATTGGGATTCAAAAATGGAAAGAATTCTTGTAATAAAGTGTCATGAAAGACTACTATGTCCAGAAAATATCTAGTTCAGGAATATTTGAGCCACCTATTATAGACACTATAGAAACTTCAGGTAAATATTGCAATGTGCTGCTTGCCTGTAGCTATATTTTCTTTTTCCTTAGCAACTGCCTTCTGGTCAAATCTACCAAGACCAATGTCATGTTTCAGCACCAGATTTTGCAGGAATGAAACCTACAGTTGTCCAAGCACATCAATTCAAGAATCACTAAAAGCATACTTCAAAAGTTTTTCATAAAAGTTTATTAACAGACCTCACTACAAAATACTAAAGAGGAGAAGATTTTTTCAGTTCATGGGAAAGAATCATCATGCATTGCTATCTTGACTGGAAAACGTCTACTCCATCTTTTTTCCCTTCTCACAGCAGAAAAATTAAGAGTTAAACACTTTAAGTCAGGTATGGATAAGCCATAGAAAATTCTTTTAAAGGTATTTTCTGCTCTGGCTCAATGTGCCATTTGAAAAGTATTCAAGTTCATAGGAATAAGTTGAGAGAGGAATTTTCAATTTTTAAAGCTCTCGCCAAGATTCAAGCAGCACTCA